TAAAATTTTAAAAAAGAAGAAGAAACGAGACGCTGCTATTAAACAATCATTCCTCCATTATTTCTAAGACCCATTTCCCTTTATAACAGTTATGAGAACCTTTGGAAACAAGACAATTTCTAAAAATCTTTAAAACGTCTATATCTCAGATCCTGGCGTCTTCACTGAAAAGTTATCCAACCTGGTTCAAATAATTATCATACCTAACATTTGCAAGAATATTGACCAAGCCGTGCACATTTTTTTTTTCAAAGTGCGTTAATATGGTCGATATTAACGCACTTTGAAAAGAATTTTTTTTTTTCAAAGTGCGTTCACGTAGTCCCAAAATTAACGCACTTTGAAAAAATTTTTCAAAGTGGTTAATTTTTCAAAGTGAGTAGTAACAGTGGTATAATTAAGGTCGCATTCATCAGATCATCGATAGATGCACTAGATGAACTAGATGACCATGAGCATCAGTTAGCACATGACGCCTCAAAATCGATAAAAACAATTTGTGTTTTTATCGTTAAAGTCCTTTATATATATATATATATATATATATATATATATATATATATATATATATATATATATATATATATATATATATATATATATATATATATATATATATAAAATGTACATATTGAAGAAAAATTTGAACTGAAAACAAAAACCTTCCATAATCTTGTATAGAAATATATGTGCCTCTAATAAGCAAATAATAAGCAAATAAGCCTGCGTGGCGCAGTGATTATAGTCGCGGTGTAAGGAGTTGATCCTTACGTCGCGGGTTCGAATCCCACTTCGGGACGTGGAGACCGGTCCTTCTGATGTGTCCGTATAAATCGAGGACCCGTGTCGCAGAAGGTGTTGACACGAAAAAGATTCATTACTGCTGAATCGCCCTAAATGTCGAGTATAGGTCAATATTTGCACCCCCCCCCCCCACCGGAAAGTGGTGGCGTCTTCATATGAGTGAAAAATTCTCAAGAGGAACTTTAAACAACTAACAAACAAATAAGGAAAAAACAATAACTAACATGATTGATCAGCGTTGTTATTTTAAAAATATAAGCATCTTAGGAAATATACTTTTGAAGGTCTTTATATAATTTTCAACAGAACCAGAGTAAATTAAGTGAAAAGAGAGACTTTCAGTTTTTTCGCAAGAGCGAAAATATTTCTGTTTAATTAAAACTAAACTGACGTGAGTTTTTTTTCATACTGTTACACAAAAGTTATAATACTGCAGCAGGGTATTATATGGCTTTAACTATTCAAAATTATATGTAAAAACAGAATTATCTGTCCCTTATAATACACAATAAGAAAATTTCCCATAGTTTATTTTCTTTTAAGAGTTGGATGTAGCTCAGGTGAGTGTTGTTTGTTCACCATACTTTTGATGTTGACCGTCGATTTTTCTGTTAATTTGTATTAACCTAGGAACGATAACTCGCACAATCTTTTTGAAGAACTGTTTGAAGAAACCATTGAACTACTAGTATGAATAATTTTCGCTTAAGAACAGACATTTATTTTCATATAGCAATTTAATTTACCAAGTATACAAGAACTGCATTGCACACTACTTCATATTTATTTTGTTTATTTACATTTTTAAGGTTTTTATGTATACTTGTTTTGTGTTCATGTTATTGAAAATTAAGCTTTTATTTGATAATTCCTATTTGGATGGAATGAAATCTTATTATTACAGTTGTTAAAAATCTTAATACATATGTATATCAATGGTTGCATCCAAATTTCATAAGTAATTGTAAATTATAGTTGTTTTAGTTTTTATGCTAATAAATAATATAGCTCTTTTTGTAATAATATATAGGAAAGTTCTACCTGAAGGACCAGGACGAGTCTTGTGCAGGATCAGTAGAGGCTTGTGTAGGATCAGTATAGGCTTGTGTAGGATCAGTAGAGACTTGTGTAGGATTAGTGGAGGCTTACCTATGTAGGTTCAGTGTAGGCTTGTGTAAGATCAGTATAGGCTTGTGCAGGATCAGTAGAGTCTTGTGTAAAGGATCAGTAGAGTCTTGTGTAGGATCAGTATATGCTTGTGTAGGATCAGAAGGGATTTGTGCAGGATCTGTAGAAGTTTGTGTAGGATCAGTAGAAGCTTAAGCTTGTGTAGGATCAGTAGAAGCTTGTGTTGGATCAGTAGAGACTTGTGTAGGATCAGTAGAAGCTTGTGTAGAATGAGTAGAGGCTTGTGTAGGATCTTTAGAGGCTTGTGTAGGATCAGTAGAGTCTTGTGTAGGATCTTTAGAGGCTTGTGTAGGATCAGTAGAGTCTTGTGTAGGATTGGTAGAGGCTTGTGCAGGATCTGTAGATGTTTGTGTAGGATCAGTAGAGGCTTGTGTGGGATCTGTAGAGGCTTGTATAAGATCAGTAGATGCTTGTGTAGGGTCAGTAGAAGCTTGTGTAGAATGAGTAGAGGCTTGAATAGAATCAGTAGAGGTTTGTGCAGGATCGAAGCGAGTCTTGTGCAGGATCTCTAGAGGCTTGTGTAAGATCAGAAGAGGCTTGTGTAATCTCTAGAGGTTTGTGTAGGATCAGAAGAGGCTTGTTCAGGAACGGTAGAGGCTTGTGTAGGACGAGTAGAGGATTGTGCAGAAGCAGCAGAGGCTTGTTCAGGATTTCGACGAGGCTCGTTCAGGACAAGAACGAGGCTTGAGATCCCTTTGGATGATATTCATCTGTACATTCGAACACATATGTGTAAATATTCTCATCAGTCATATTTAAATCAGTTTCATTTGTCACATAAATGAATCCCCTACTGAAAAATATTCAATATGAAGACTTAAACATACTACCTGAAATCTAAAATAACTATCAGTAAGAACAGTTTATAAATATAACATGGGTTAACTTAAATTTAGAGTTTTTTCAAAGAAACAAATCTTACTCAAAAACTATTTCTTTTTTTAAGATTCCTATGATCTACAATATTTCGTGACGGGGGGTGGGGGGGTCATGTAAATATACAGTCCTATGCTGTGTTTTGATATAATATTCCAAAAGTCTTGAAGAGGTAGCATATGTGAAGAAAAATAGTGGCTTCACTTAAAGCTACTATTTCATTAGAGCAGAAGTCTGTGTGTTTGATATTATTATGTACTCAAACCCAGAAGATAATGCTAAAAAAATCAAACATAGCTAAATGTAACTGAATAATATAGATCAGGGCTTAGAACACAGAGTTAAAAAAAAATAACTATAAGTAAATAAGATTTATTTATTTATTGTTTATTGATCAATATTATTTGTGTTTTGTTAATATTATGTAACATGGACATATCCGGAGAAGTAAGGGGGGGGGGGGGGGGGGGTCATGTAAATATACAGTCCTAACCACCTTTTGTATCCATATGTCATGTATTTAATTTCATGAAATATTGTTTAACGTTATTATTAATTTCTGCAGAATAAATTTAACTGATTTTTCCCATCTCTTGATTGCGTTAAGTAATATATTCAGTTGTTTAATTTTAAAAATATATTTGTCTATGTCTTGTTATTGCTTTATTTATTGATTTCATTTACTTATTCCTGTGATGAAAAAAAAATATAATTAATCTTTTTTTTTTTCTTATATTAAAAATCGATATTGATATATGTGTTTTAAGATAATTATTATAGTATGTAGAACCTGATTAATTCAGATCTAATAAAAGAAATATTAATAATAGTTATTATGATATTGAACTTGTACATCACAGGTGATAATTATATACAGATAATAAGCCTAAAACAGAATACACACATGCAGGTGACCACTCTGGTGTTAAAATCCCAATTTAGCTAGATGGGAATAAGAAATTCAAAAGTTTTGCTATTTGTAAATAAACCATCAATCGCTTTCTTCTGGGTTCATTTCTCCCATCTTATTAGAAAAGAAAAAACTTCAACATAACTGATATGCTTACTGGAATAATTTTTATTGATTTTATGTATGTTATTTTTGTTGTATATATGACTATATGCCAATGTATGATGGTGTTGTCAATAAATAAATTGAAAATTGAAAAATTATACCCAAACCCTCGCTCTGTGATTAATTTTTTTTTTCTTGCTTGCTTTTCAAAGACAAAGAGAATATTTCCTTTCATGGAGAAAGACATAGTTTATCATCTCAATATCCCGTCATTTACATGCGTTAAATACCTTTCTCTCTCTCTCTCTCTCTCTCTCTCTCTAGCAGCACAATAAGCCAGTGTATACCTGATGTTTATACATGTATGACTGACATCACTGTTAACTCTGTATCCAAATCATTACATTGTTATAAGCAATCGTCGTGTCATTGTAATAAGCCGAGGCACTTTAAGGATTTAAGTTTTGCTGGAACATGATAAAATTAAGTTATTTGCATATATTATTATATATATTTTTTTAATATATTTAACTGTATATTTTAGAAATATATCATTATACTTGAATCTATCTATACTTATGTCAATATGCGTTTGATAACCAATCCCATAGCTTATTCGCTAAATCACGTTTAAATAGCTCTCTCCTACAAGTACCTCTTTTGAAAGTTTCCCCTTTGGAGCCTTGGCCTACATGCTAATTAAAGGGATGTACAATTCAAGCTAATGTCCATGGTAATAAGTATTGTTTTAGATATTTGTCTTCAACAATATCTCTTTTAACATAATAATAATAAAAAATGATAATGATAAATTTCATATTCGTCGATGTATAACTGTAATAGAATGATGTCATCATCGTAGTCTCGTTTGTTTACATCCGACAGCTGATCGAAGAACCACGTGGTAAATTGGTCATGTGACCAGTATCCATACATAGTTGACCTTTAACCCTACCTAGAAAAATGCAAAATATATGTTTATTAAACAATCACAGATAATTTTTGAACCCTTATGTTTAGATTTTGTGGAATTTTATGAGAATGTTTGATATTCTATTAATTTGGGTGATGCTAAACATAAGATTCCTTTTACAAGGGCGGAGTTAAAAAATCACGTGACTGATCGTCATGCATAAGGATAACATATCCGCCATTATTATTGTTGTTTTTCAGAAGTCGACTACGTAAACAGAATATACTGAGGAAAATCAGACAAAAATGTCGTCCCCCAGCCCAGGAAAGCGGAGGATGGATACAGATGTCGTAAAACTGTATCCTTTTCACGATTAATATTATGACGAGCGATGATTTCTTCCAATATTTAGTATATTTTTAGGGCACTAACATCTGGATCTGCGCGATTCGTCCGATTGGTTTCAGCCTGTTTTGGTGTGTCAGGGCTTTGTTTACAAAGTGTACCACTTCGAAGTATATTGTTCATATTATGCAGAAAGGAAGTAATCAATGTTTCCCATGGTTTTTTAATGTTTTCTCCTTTTTGGATCAAATCTATTTTTTCTTTGGGTCGTCTGTTTATTATTATTTTCTACATGTCAATGATGACCTCAATATAATTTACCAGCGGAAGCGTTTTGCTGCGCAGTCTAAAAATAAGATTGATGAAAACACAAAAGTATAATGTTGAAGAATCAGTAAATAGTTGTTTTGCTTTTTTTTAAGTTAATTAAAGTTTGGATCTTTTGTTCTCAAATGCAAAGATACGTTAGTTTTTTTCTGTGTTGAACCTAGGGATATTGAAACATGCATTCATTAAATGTATATACTATATACTTGTCTAGAGATTCTTTTAATTTGCTCTCTTTTGGAATATGTAATAAAGATCTATTGTCCTCAAGGCAGAAAACACAGAGTTTGATTTCAAGTTGTAAAATATGTACCTGCACTAAGTCTATATTAAAGGATTCACCAGGCTTTCTTTATAATCATGCAGGTGTGGATTCAGACAGGGGCGCTTCCAGCTCATGCCCCACTTATTTAGAAAAAAAATCTACCTGATAAAGTTTTCACTGTCATACATCCGCAATGTTATAAAGGTGACTGTGTCAAAATAAGGTTTACTAATTGCCAATTCTCAGAAGCTTACAGGGATTTTGCTCTTGGACCCCCACTAGACATTACCTTTGACCTGCTTGGGACCTCGAAGGTACCCAGACCCCTTGCCATCTAATATAGGGCCCCTTCTAACACAAGATCCTGGATTCACACCTGTGAACTCCCCCAAAATATATTATCTATACTTCTGTGAATCGGTAAAAATATTTTATCTATAGAGTGATATCTGAGCATTGATGATGTATTTTCAACAAAGTTCCTGAAATTAAAATGTTTTGTTAACAATTTTTATTCAAATAATATTTCTGGACAGGATTTTTAGAAAAAAATTACTGCTGTGTTTATTTAAGGAATAACTGTCTAATTTTTTGGTATCATGATGTGATCAATCGAGTGGCTTGCGTGATAATTTGCATAAACGCGGAAGGCGTTTATGCATAAAATTATCACGCAAGCCAATCGATTGATCATCGTCATGAATCCAAAAAATCTGACAGTTATTCCTTATATTTACATGCTCCTGATTCTGCAAATTCCCGTGCTAATAGCTCCGCTTCTGTCTCTATTTGTCCCGCCCCGCACGTGATTTTTTTTTAACCGCGCCTATTGATGAACCAGTAGATTTATGTAGAAATAAAGTATTTTTACAATTTGTAATTTTATCTCGGACAAAGACATTGGAAATGTAAATATATGTGAATCTTTGTTTGCTTAATGTTCTTGAATATATAATATTGTGGCAAGGATTCTACATGATTGCCCATTATAAGTATCCCTCATTCAGAATGCCTACCTTTGCCAGTTAAGCAATAAGAGTCGGTGTCATTTACTTCAATTGCAACTTCTTGGGCCTTTACGACAAGTGGAAAAACAACCTCAGATGATAAATTACATAACGATGATAAATAACATATAAATTTTGAAACATTCTGACAAATATTACCCAGTTTTGTAGATGACTATTATTATTTTTATGACACATTGAAATGCAAAATATGATCATTCACTTCTCAAGCATATATTTCTACATTTAAATGTCCATATACTCCCCATTCCCATGTCATTAAAAAAATCCAATTAAAGGAAAACTGTGCCTTTAAATAATGTAAAGGCCTGTTAAATGTGTTTTAATTGTAGCCCCTCGGAAACCCCAGAAGCAAGTCTAATAATAATGCTGTGTTTTTCAATATTTTAGGTACTTTGGATCTACTTAGGGTAGGGCTAATACAGTATTTGATGTTATAAAAATTTTGAATAGAGGGAGCGTTAAATAGAGGAAGAAGCTAAACAACTCCAACAAGGAAGATCTAATACAATTTTCATTTATGACTACAATTTGAATAACCTTTGCAATACCATTAAAAAATGAGCATTATTGAATAAAAATTAGCATTTGTTAAAATTATATTTTTCAAAATATGTTGTGTCTTACTATGCTGAAATTGTTACTTTTCTTGGCCACCTATACCCTAACTTAAAGCATAACTCTCCTAAAATTGGAAATGGGGTAAAAAATTTTAGAGCTAAGACTTAATTGTTGAAATAATTTGGAAAATGTAGTAGAGGTAATGTAATGCACTCGGTATACTAAGATTTGTTGAATCAGTTACATATGATACATGGTAAACAATTCCTTAACCTGTCCCAGCATAGAGAGCAAGCACGAGGTAACAATTCTGGGTGGACTGAATGAGTTCATCGTTAAATTTCACGGACCACAGGGAAGTATGTATATGTCTACAGCATTGTTTATAGCATGACTAACAATTGCATTAGTAAAATGGTTTTTACATCAGTAGTGAAGATAATTTCTTAGGTATTTAAATAATTATACTGACATTTATAGCAATTTTGATTCTATCTGATTGTCAAGTAATTTACTAATTATTCATTATTTATTATTAATTACTCAATGAAGGAGGAATAAAGTCTTAAACAATAGACTAAGTATATTTAATTTAATATTTGATTTGATAAACCACCTTCAATATTCAATTTTCTATCCAAAGGCAGAGATTTTTATATATATTAAAATCTTCATTTTTTCAGCTCCATATGAAGGAGGGGTTTGGAAAGTGAGAGTAGATTTGCCGGAGAAATACCCTTTCAAGTCACCTTCCATAGGTATGTATCTACATTATGTCTACATTTAAGTCATTATTCTGCATTGCGTATACATTCGAGTCATTCTCTGTACATATCAGCTCTACATTATACAAGTAAATCTAAATTTAGATCACTCTATTGATACCATCTCTATGTTTAAATACATTCAAGTCAATCTGTATAGATATTTATCTACATTATGGGTACATTCAAGTTACTATCTTTGTGTGCCTCATTCATTCACTACCTTCCAAGCATCATGATTTTAACATATTTTTTTTTGTGCATCATGAATGTATCACTGAAAATCATTTGTACAACACCTGTACTTTACCTATACAACACCTGTACTTTACATACACATCACCTGTACTTTACATATACATCACCTGTACTTTACCTATACATCACCTGTACTTTACCTATACATCACCTGTACTTTACATATACATCACCTGTATTTTACCTATTCATCATCTGTACTTTACCTATACATCACCTGTACTTTACCTATACATCACCTGTACTTTACCTATTCAACATCTGTACTTTACCTGTACTTTGTCTACACATCACCTGTACTTTACCTGTACTTTGTCTACACATCACCTGTACTTTACCTGTACTTTGTCTACACATCACCTGTACTTTACCTGTACTTTGTCTACACATCACCTGTACTTTACCTGTACTTTGTCTACACATCACCTGTACTTTACCTGTACTTTGTCTACACATCACCTGTACTTTACCTGTACTTTGTCTATACATCACCTGTACTTAACATATACATCACCTGTACTTTACCTATTCATCATCTGTACTTTGTCTATACATCACCTGTACTTTACCTATTCATCATCTGTACTTTACCTGTACTTTGTCTATACATCACCTGTACTTTACCTATTCATCATCTGTACTTTACCTGTACTTTGTCTACACATCACCTGTACTTTACATATTCATCACCTGTACCTTACCTACACATCACCTGTACTTTACTTATTCATCACCTGTACTTTACCTGTACTTTGTCTACACATCACCTGTACTTGACCTTGTATCATCATTCTTTCTACCTGTACTAATACAGTATTTCTGATATTCACTGTATTCAGCACTGTGACTGCATTTCTTTATCCTTTGTTAATCATTATCATATACCTAATATTAAATACACTGATTCTGCACTGTGCAATACGGGTATCACAACATTTGATATCAATAACCAGTCCAAAAACCTACCATGCAAAAAAGAATGTATATCAAAATGGAACAAGGTTAAAAACTTAATTAACTTCATTTTATTGAAATAATGCATATGATATGTCAAATCAGCCCTTGGGTCCAATATTAGCCCAAAGGCCAAATCATTTGGGCTGATATGATAGGGATTATAGTATGCAATATACTCTATCACCAGAATTCAGTGAAACTATGGAAATAAGGCCAGTCAGGGGCACGCGTTGATCTTGTAAAAATACATGTACAACATAATTAAAGAAAGCTAAGAAGTAACAAATTTTGAATTATTTTTTGATAGAATAAAAAAGGGTTTTGTCTGATATATTGTCCCCCGCTTCACTGAAAGTGGGGGATATTGATTTGGGTCTGTCTGTCCTTCAGTCTGTCTGTCCATCTGTCATAAAACTTTCATTTCTGGATGATATCTCAAAAAGCCTTCAAGCTTTTGAAATGAAATTTTTTTACCTTGGTCAATATGACTTTAAAAAGTCCCTATTGATTTTAAGGTCAAAAGGTCAAAGACCAAGTTCAGAAATTCATAAATTGCATACATAGTTTTTGAATGATAACCTAAGTTCTCTTTCTGTTCTTTCTTTATCAATGAAACATAAGGTTTTATGGGTTTCTTTAACTTAAACATGTGATTTGATCATTTGCCTGATCAATACTACTATAAAAAAAATATGCCATCTTTTCCAAAACAGTTGGATTGACAAATGTCTTGGTGTCATGTCAAGACCCTTAAAGGACCTTCTTGCCCGAAAACCAATTTCCCAACGTGCACTGCACACCGTTTCTGCCAAGATATGAAGTTGGTGATCACCGAAGGTGATCCGTGAGGTTGCGACGGGAGCAGTCTCCCACTTAAAAATCAAATAATATACCCTGATTGACTACCATATTGCTTAGTAGTCATCCAGTGCATTGGTGTCCTTACCAAATCCACCCAACTTCTGGTTGCCCAATTTTGTGGAACAATCTTGAAATTATTGTGTGGTGCTAAATACTTAATGCTGTCCAGGGTTCCACACTAACTTTTTAAGGCTTTAGTCCAGCTGGACTAGTGCTTCATTACTTTTCTTAGTCCGCACACGATTTTATTAGTCCGTCAAAAAAAAGAAACATCAATGTTTTTAACATTAATTAATTTAATGTGACAATTAATATACGTATTATTTTTTTGAAATAAACAAAGTATTTACGTGAAATATATTATTCCACAGATTCATTGAAATCTGGCAATCAGCAAGTACGATCGTATTCTCGATCTCGTTTTTTTTTTTTTTGTCTTTACATTACATCCAAAACGTCCAACATCTTTCTTAAAAGTGTCGTACTAAATCATAATCGCTATAACTTTATACTTCTTATCGATCAGTTGGAAAAATTAAGCGCTGAATTGACCTGGCTTTGTGTAACTACCCGCCAAAAGCTAGAAATCTAAAAATACACACAGAGTTTTCCAGTAAAAGTTGTCGAGAATCGGACATCGATAATTTATTCATATTGTTTTTCAGAAATTTTTGTTGGTCCGTTCGGACTAATTAGCCACATATTTTATTAGTCCGAATGAAAATGTATTAGTCTGAGACTAACAGACTAATGTTAGTGTCAAACCCTGCTGTCGCTATCTGTAGTAAACACTTTTGTGATTGTTAATTCATTTGTAACAATTTTTCATTAGAGGAATGAATAATCTTTTAATTGTTTTAATTTTTGACAAATTTCTCCAAAGGAACCCCCTGCAGACACCATACTGACTGCCTTCTACGGTCAAACGCCTTAAACGGTGTAACTTTTTTTCTGATTTTTTAATAAGTACAAACATAAGGAACACAACCACAAAGAAAAAAATAGAAAATTATCCCACCAAAAAAGTATGAACACGATTTTTAATTTTTCTTTGAAATGGTTACGCTTCAGAAAACGTTGTTATTTATCAGTTAAGAATTTAAATGCCTCATTTTTTATTAAAGTAACATAATTATATATCATAAACATCAGAAACAAGTTTTGAAAAGAAGAAATATTAATTTATTTTGGTGGTGCGTTAGCAATTTTGTCTAGTGTACATAGTTTCTATTATCAATAATAAATCATTAGTCATGAATCATTCAATCCTCTCTCACTCCATTACTCAATATTACAGCTTTACATTATCATCTATACATCACTGGATAAAATGTCATCAACATGTATTTGACTCATATCTGCTGAGTTTTTTTGCCTTATACAGAAATCTCAAATTTCTTTGATATCAAATTGTTCCTAGCATATCTGACATATAATTTTGTGTATACAATTTTGTTTTAGAAATATTTCCCTATCTCTGGAATTGTGTTACATTTTAAAGTCCTTTTCAAGATCCACTATATGGAATATAGGAAGTGATCAATTTCGCATGTTTAATATTAAATAAGTCTCTGAGAGAATTTTGAAAAATAAAAAAAAAAAATCATTCTAGATTCCAAATTTTATAGAGTTTTACCTACAAGTATTTTTGTATGGAAGCCGGTAGGTGCCAGGTAGAAAAAATATTTTATCTGTCAGCAGCCAGATAAGTTTCTGGTGGCCGCCAAATAATTATCTGGCGGCCGCCACATAAATAGCTGGTGACCGCCAGAAACTTATCTGGCAGCCACCAGATAAAAAGATCTGGTGGCTGCCAGATAACTTATCTGGCAGCCACCATATAATTTCTGGCGGCCATCAGTTATATTCATGTGGCGGCAACCAGATTATTTTCTGGCGGCCGCCAGATAAAATATTTTTCTACCTGGCACCTACCGGCTTTCTGTATTTTTGTGATTGCAATGTCTGTTTCACAAAATGATATGTGACTTTTTTCTTGCAGACAGGGTTGTTATAAGGTGTTTTTAATTTTGAATTTTCTTGCAGGTTTCATGAATAGGATATACCACCCCAACATAGATGAAGTGTGAGTGTTAAATGTTTTAGTTAAAACTTACTTTATTGTTTGACAAATATCTTTTTTAGATAATTTTACCTAACGGCCAGGGATCAAGGTTTAATTATACATCAGGATAATCTAACTGAAAGAATCAAAGATTTTTTTTAAAAACAGGATTAAGTTGTGTCTTTTGTATTTAAAGGGGAAAAAAAACAGAAGATTTGTAGGGTTTTACATTCAACATCTATGATTTTTTTTTCTAAAAATCGATTTTCACAAAATTTAGACTATTTATTTATTCTCGATACAAGTATTTAAAAGTCTGTTTAATTTGTTTAAAGCATATCCTTCTGACAAAACTGTTTAGTTGGAAATAAAACATTTTGGAGTATATTTTGCTGAAAATTCAATAAATGTATTATATACATGTCAATATCAGTAAATTATGTCAAGAAGAATCAGGTAGACATTTTCATTATTTGATAAAATTTTAAAATAATGATTGTATGCTATTTATTTTCTATAAGCATAAGTTAGATGTTTCTTAAAAGATTTTATCCTTAGGTTTAAAAACTATTTAATTAGCAATTACTGTTTTTCATATTCATAAATAATTTTTTATTAGTTGTAAGTCTCCAAAATCTCTTATTTGAAATCAATACTATTCAGCTTGTATTGGTCTTTAATGCTGAAATTATATAAGATCTTGTAACATCCATTAAATAACTTTTAAGTATGGCATGCCTCCTTTAGGTTTGAATGGAGTATACCTGAAACAATTTAATTTTCAACAAACTGAGGGAAAAGCACATTAATTTTCTTTTCAGGTAACATTCAAATGATAAATTATGAGGGTTTTATAATTTCAGATCTGGTACTGTCTGTTTAGATGTAATCAACCAAGCCTGGACAGCTATTTATGGTATGTTAACATTTTCATAAAGATGATAGGTTGATGAGAGTCAGCATTCAGACTAATTATAGATTTGGAATTATGTTATTTACACAGTACAAACATGTATATTACATTTATATAGTACAGTTTTACAGCTAGTTTGGACACTTAGGTGGTGACATACATTTCTTTAGTTTACTTTAACATTACAGTGGCTGCAATGTTATTGTTGACAACATGACACGAACGATCACGATTCTGCACGATAAACGCATGTTTGAACGATCCTTCATGCACACGATTCTTCACGTTACACAATCTTTCAAGATTGCAAACACACGATTCTTCACGCAAAATAGTTAAAAATATTTAGGAGTGGATATTTTCAAAATGATAAAAGGCATAATATAGTTATTTTAGATTTCAAATAATTATTGATGCAATTCATTGACTTTGGAAAACTGAAATAAATATTTAGAAATGGATATTTTTGAAACTAAATAAGACTTTATAGTTATTTTAGATGACATTTAATTATTTATGTAATTCTCCGACTTAGGAATATAGATTTTTTTTTTCTTTTCGATACGTAAAGATGTAATTTATGATCAACTGCTGCATGTTCTATCAGATGATATAGGTGAGCTGTGAGTTTCAATTCTATTAAATTTTATGGCAGCAGTAAGAGGGGATAAGATAAAAAAAAATGGAATAAAAATGAAATAAAACTATATCCATCTTTCCATTTGTGAATACATGTATCTGAAATCAGCAATTATTTTACAATTCATTCACATGCAGAAATTATAACAATAAAGTTAGTATCAGCGATTAACACTGATAAAATTAACTCCGACAATCATGCCGTGTACATTCCTCGACTAAATATGTATGTATAAGCATTGGGAATTATTTATTTTTTTTGTAGAGATAATACATTTTTGATGTATTGATATAAAAAATATCTTGACAACAATTAGCTGTAAACATGATTAACATCAGAGAAAAAATCGTTAAACATCTTAAATACGTTTTTCATTAAAAGTTTTGCTATTTTAAGAGAATACAATATTGAACGACTTACTGTAATATAATTATAATATTGCTTATTTACTAGCGATAATTAGTTCGTTCAATTATGTTAATCGCCCTTCATTTCTTTTATTTCAGTTAAAAAAAGCAGACGAGCAAAATGCTTGTTTAACAAATTACATTCTGATAAAAACTAACGAAATGAAATTAGCACGTTTCATACTGCACGATCATGCAAGATTAAAACCGCAAATGATTGAACCTGATACAAGCACCATCTCTCACGTTACACAAACGATCACGCACGTTTCATGAACAATTCTACACAATTGGTTTGTCAGCAATAACATTGCAGCGACTGTAACCTGTCTTACAGATTTCATAATGTTATTATAAGTTTTCCACTATAGAAGATGTTTCAGTTGAGAAAGCAGTTTGAATTACATGTATTCAGCTTTTTATACGCCGGTCTTTAGACGGGACGTATTATGTTATGGCGTTCATGTCTGTCTGTCTGTCTGTCTGTCTGTCTGTTAGCTTTTCTCGCGTCCGGCTCATAACTTTAATACTATTAGGCCTAGGATTATCAAACTTTGTCAGCTGATACTTCTTGGGCAGAAGGTGTGTCGCGCACTAAAAGTAGGTCACTCTGACCTTTAATTAAGATGCTATGGCCAAATATGGAAAAATCCTGTCCGGCTCATAACTAGAAAACTATTAGACTTGGAATCATCAAACTTGGCCAATTTATGCATCTTAGGTAGAAGGTGTGTCGCGACCTATTTCAAGGTCACTGTGACTTTTCATTTAAGTGAAAGGATGTATTCACTATTACAAAAGAATTGACCTATAGGAGAGAACAATTTCCCGGAAAAAGTGACATTTAAAAATCAATCTTTATTTGTTGTTTTCTACCGTATGCATGTCTAAATTTTTCAAATTTGAGTTTTACAACTAAAATTTATTATTTACAACTTCACAATAAACCTCCAAAGTTGGCCGAAACATCATTTTGTCCGTTAAAACATTGATTTTTGCATAAATTTTGGCCTAGAAGTCCTTCAGGGCAGGCCTGCCCCTAAATAAAATTGTGATATTTTGATAGGTTCGGATGTAAGGAATAATTTAAGATAGGATTTTTTTAGGGGCACCCCTGCCCTAGGGTCGAAATTCACAAAAAACCTACAAAAAATAAGTAAACTTGATTTTGACAATCTGCTTCAAATTTATACCATTCAATCTTTAGTCAGATTAGCTCATTTGATATATGCGTTGAGCTGACTTTTAGATCGTGGGTACTTTATTTTTAAAGTCGGGGGTTCGAATCCCCCTGTTGCCACACTTTTATAGTTTTAAATTTTTGCCTTTTCAAAGACTATTTTAATTTTTTTTTATAGGCTTGTGTATGTTTCTTCAATTATCTATCCTTTATGCATTCCCATTTTTGATATAAGAAACACTAGAGAGATATCAAATCGTAACAATCCAATATACAGTTGTCAGTCAGGCGGAACAAGTCTCAGTATAGCACACTTTCTCCGAGGACAAGAATAACTCACTCTGTGTTACTCGATACAGGTATTCTCGGCAGCATTGAGCTGCGATGAATTTCAATTGTATATATTCCTTAGAATTTAATCACATTGCTTTTATTCTGTCTGTGCTACTAGTGCTTGTCTGGGTTACATGTAGTACATGAATGTTACGTATTGCTTGAATTATTTGAGCTGAATATATTTAGAATAACATACATGTACTTTTGTTTTCAGTCAATATTTTAAGATCTTAAGTTTTGAAACAGTAGGGCTACATATATCAGTAACTGTACTCCCTTGGATTTCATTTAGGCCCATATGATTTGCACACATTAATTGCATGTTTTTATTATATCCAACGGAAATGTGTTGTAAAATAAATAGCCTAGACATAAAAAATAGAATTCCAGAGACAGTAGACATTACCATTATGGACAATGAGAAGTAAAGAAAAATATCAATTATTACATTTAGAGATAAACTCAGAATATCAATGAAAGTGTTCCTCCTACCTCTACTCACTGAAATAAAGATTTATGAAAAACAAATTGTTACATGTATTCAGCCTAATGTCATTAATCGGAATGGAAATCGACAAGCTTTTTGTAGAGAAAAAACCAAGCCTGGCCCTATAGGTCAGATCCCTATTCATATAGAAGTGATCCTTTAAAAATAAAACTGTCTTGTTACTATTAGATTATACAATCCCAAAAAATGCAAGAGTGTTGCAGTATCCTTATTAAAAATATGTTAAATCAAGAAAATACATATTTTTTCATTATATACTTTACAGCAATCTATAACAAATGTAATGTTACAAGAGAAATTCCACCTCTCCAATGGGTGTAATTATCAAGCACTGGTCAAGGAGAATTTGATAACAGAAAATTGCATGTCAAATTAGAGAGAAATTAATGTGTTGAGTGTGAGGAGCTAACTGGTAGAGCATCTCTGATCAAGCAGGTGTTATCTATATCTCTTGGGAACTGGGTAAAAAGAATCAGCCCTGTTGGATTGAATAGTTGGCTAGCCTAACTTTGAAAATGAATTTGGTGAACAGTAATTAAAACTTATTTGATATTGTATAATAAATTAATTTGATATTGTATAATAAACTAATTGATATTGTATAATATAATTAAAACTAATTATACTTGGGGGGGGGGGGGTATTGAATTCAGCATGCCCATTGTCTGTATGAATTGCAGCTTAAAACCAGTCTGACATTAAATCTAAAAATAATCAAGTATTTAAAAAAATGTTTTAATTATGGTAGATAGTCCCTACAAATCTAAGAGTAATGCAGGAACCTTATTAAAAATATATTGCATCAAGATTACACAAGTTTTTTTTCTTTTTATAAATGTTTGTAACAAATAAAAAAAAATCTTTGTTTTCAAATTTAATATCAGAATGACATAAATATGCATTTTTATTACACTACAAAGCAGATAGTATGTATAGATCCATTCATCCTGGGAGTAATGAGTGGACATGCATCCAGTTAAAGATTAATTAATGAGTTCAGTGTAGGAAGGCTAGCTGTCTCGATCATTTCTGTTAGAGGATCTCTGATCAAGCAGCTCTTATCTGTATCCTTTGGGAATTAGACAGAATAACTGCTTGTCAGTTTATAGCATATGTCATTTGATGGCCAGCCTTTTATTTTTGATATAATTTGATATAGATTAAGTTGTTCAGACTAAATTGATATTGTTTAATAGGATATTTTTAATTAATTTTTTGAAAATATCAACAAATTCAGAGCATCATGTTTCACAAATCTGAAAGCTAACACAACCAGTTGAAGATCTATAGTGTAATATTTGTTATAATTAATGCCTACACCACAGGAGATGTATAAACAAATATTATGAGGAATGGAAAAATCCTTGAAATCCTTGTATCAAGGTTGACATGATTTTTTTGCACTCTAAACTGTTTATGACAATTGAACAATATTTGACGGGTGTATCATGCTGTGGCGGGGCACTTTATTAATCAATGCCTAGATATACCTCGTTTAATCAAGATATAATGTTGACATCAACTTGTTTGTCAGCCCAGATTTTCGAAACTTTTGGTATAAATCTGATGTGAGAATGTAAAATACTTGTATTTTAAGTAAATTATGTGAAATTCATGATGATGCTAAGGTGACTGTCCGTTAGCTTTGTTTTATTCTCTGTGAATGTAACATATATTTATGAACATATTATCGTGTTATTTCCAGATCTGGCCAACATCTTTGAAGCTTTTCTGCCACAGCTTCTGACATATCCCAATCCCATCGACCCCCTTAACGGGGACGCAGCCGCCATGTATCTCCACAAACCAGAGGACTACAAAAAGAAAGTCTTAGGTTTGTACAGTCTTGGGATTATTTCTATCCATCTCTATAAGAAAATCTTAGGCTGTAAACATTCAGTCCATCTGTTCAAGAAAGTCTTAGATTGGAAAAAAATTCAATCCATCTGTGCAGAGTTTTATTTTTTGTTTTCTTTAGTTTGTTTTTTTTTTTTTTACAAATAAAGTCTTTTTCTTTTTTACAAACGAAAGGAGTAGAAAATAGAAAGTATTTTTCAGAATTCAATTTATCAACTCTGAGCTATATTGAGTATTCCTTTCATGGCATTTCAGAACATATAATTATATTTCAGAGAACAGGGTTGCAAATAATTTTTAAAACCTTAGTAACCCCCCCCCCCCAACTTTACACATTAATATTTTATTAGCCCACCTTGATATTTTGGTCCCATGATTTTATGATCACTTGGTAAAAAAAATGTTGATCTTTTCATATCAGAATCTCTGAGAAGTACATGTACTTTGCTGTCCACAATCTTTTATTTTTCCGTGGATTTTGACATCACTTGTATGAAATTCCATGTTTCACTCAATTACTTTCACTTTGAGATCTCACATAGAAGTAATGGATATAGGGAAAAGAGAATGCTTTGTAGGTAGGAAATAGCAAAAGTGCTCTTAAGGTATCCGACCCATATTAGGACCGGATTTTCTAACCTTAAATGTCCGTCCTGTATTAAATACTCTGATGCTAATTCAAAGTATTTTAGAGTAGAATAGGATTTATCAATAGAAATTTTCAAAAATTTAATTACCTAAGCAGTAATCAATTATTGAAGATTGCATTGAGGTCTATGGGGACAAGCAAATTTTTTGAAAATAAAAATTTAAATACTAAGAATATCAAGAAATGTTGTGTTGGAAAGATGTATTTAATTATTAGGAATAGAAAAACGAATGAAAACTAATTTTTACCATGTAGTTTTTTCTTAGAATTATTTTTTATTGATTTAAAGCAAGGGGGATAACTCTTCAAGGAAAGGACAAGCTCAAAAATTAGGACACACTCTGCTCTTACATATTGATACTAAAACATGAAGATTATGTCTAAATATGCTGAGTATTCAGCCAATATATATAGATCTGTCATGCATTCAGATTCATTAAATCTGAGGCTATTATGGGTCGGATACCTTAATTAATACAAGGGTTGTTCGGAAAGTTCGTGGACTATGCCAATCTTCGTTATACTATCTTCAAGAAATTTAGAATAAGCACATTATCATGTGTAAAAATATTTATTTTGTTTCAGTGTGAAGTTTCATTCCATCATTCCATGTGATTTAACAGAATTCGTTTTATTTAATTTTGAAATCAAAATTGTAGGTTTTGTAACCATGGAGCAAACTCAACAACATTGTAATGTCAAAAACATACCGACATGAGGTTCTCAAAAATAATATCCCTATTCATTACACACAGTATTGCCCAATACCAGCGCACTCATTTAAAGCGTTTCTCTATCACTTGAAATCTATTTTGCTAACAATTGTTCCAGTAGCATTATTTTGTTAAACAGTGTTATATTTTTTTCACTGCATAAGTGTGCTTTCACAAGATCAGCGCTAAACTCGTAGCATGATGTTACAAACTTTTCAATGTTTTTGATAAGACTTTTACAGATAATCCGTTTTCTCAGAGATCGTCATCATCTAAGCAGAGTAGTTGATCATTCAAATACCACTTGTACCATGTACACACACATGCATGGTCACTTTTGACATATATCCTACTTCCTCCGGCATTTTCAGAGTTTTTTTCTGGAGTTTTCCAGAGTACAACACAAAATTGTATGGTTTACTGCTACTTCGTGATGTTCTAAGACATTATCTTTTTTGCCTTTTTCAATTAGGACTACCTATCTTCTGAAACTGATTTCTTTTCAATGAAGCAAAATATTAAGTCATAATTTGGAATCAGAAACAATGAAACAATTCTTAATTTGGATGTGTAGAATTTTTCCGTTTTTGTGTCATTTTTGTGTCATTTTACAGAAGATATGACTTCTTCAGACATTATTTAGTGTCTTGATTGTAAATTACAACATTTTAACCTGCTCTGTGATCTGATTTTCGTATCTTTTAAGTCTAAATAAGTTAGAAATAAACCACAATATTTTAAAAAATTTTAATACACATCTTTTGAATTTACTGTTGAAATATTTCTTCCAAATTTGAATATAATATGACGTTACGTAGAAAAGTTATGACGGTAGTCCACGAACTTTCCAAACAACCCTCGTAGAAGCAAACCATGGAAAAGTTTCGATAAAATTGAGCTCGCCATGTGGGTGATAAAATACAGAAGACTTTGACGCCCACAGACCAAGTTACATTTGTGAGTGGGCAAGTGATTATTTGCAACCCTGGAGAATATGTAAGGTATTAAAACTTTTGAATCTACAGTATCTGATTTTTACAGAGCATGTAAACAGTTATCTGATTTTTACAGAGTATGTGAAGAAATATGCGACAGAGGAGGCACTACGTGAACACGAGGATCAGCAGTCATCGTCCAGTGAGTCCAGTATGAGTGATTTCTCCGAGGATGAGGCTCAGGACATGGAGCTATAACCTCGGGCCAACATTGTGTATATATATACCTCACTCCACTTCCACAGCACTGCTCATCAATCCTACATTCTGATTGGCTAGTTTCCACAACACTGCTCATCAATCCTACATTTCCACAACTCTGCTCATCAATCCTACATTCTGATTGGATAATTTCCACAATACTGCTTATCAAATCTACATTCTAAATGTAGGATTATTAAAGACCAATTCTACATTCTGATTGGCTGATGACAAGAATGAACTGAAAACTTTCTAAAGTCTAACTGTTCAATTTCTTGAATTATCAACCAATTTTTTTTATATATTTTCGGTTTTTGTGAATAGATATAAACATTTTTTTTTCAAAATTGTAAATTTATGTGATGATTCCCTGTAGATTTTATTAGATGTATCTTTATGTAATTAAATTACTTTATTGCTATAATTGCAAGTATAATTTACTTATGAGCAGATTTTTTGAAAATGTTTTTCTTGTTCAGCATCTTTCATATTTCTCCAAGTTGTGAACTGACTTGAGCAATGCTGTGGTTTTGGATTAATTCATGTTTGGGGGTCATTTTTAGTGAGAGATGTAATCATGTTTTTTTCAATTTCACTATTACATTAGAATTATGAAAGAAGAATAGATGATTTTCTATACAAAAAGGTTTGCATTCAATTGCTTTTTTTCCTGCATAACTGATAATATGTTTGAAAAATTACTGTTTACTTTTTGTGGGAATAAAGTTGGAATAGATGAAATAGACAGAGTGATAGAGTTCTGGCTGTTGAATGTGAGAGGTATACAGTGACATTTATTTTTTTCTTGTGTTTAATTCTTACTGTAATATTTACACCTCATTGGACGATTTTTGCCCTTGATATGAGAGAACTGTTACATATTTGAGTAAATATTGATTTTTTTTTTTTTTTTTTTTTTTTTTAAAGAGTCTGAATTTTAGCTGTTAACTTACAATAACAATATACCTCTCCACTTAGAGTGAATCATTTTTCTTGCATAAAAATATTTGAACATGTTTTATTATCTCTGTAGTAATTTACCTACCTAAAAAGTGAGATGAGTTAAATTATATGAATGTATGAATTATATAATAATCCTTTCTCTAGGGTGACCCCTGTTTACCATTGTTTACACATTAATCGCTGTGAGAGGATGATTTTTGTATGTGATAAGTATAGAGTGCTGTTTTGTTCCCTTAAGATGTTGCTTTTTGCTGAAGTTTTAAATTGTGAGATATCTTGATTTTATTATTTTATGTGTGGTTCAGTATAGGCTCCTATGGTTGTCGGCAGTTAACAAGGGGAAAAAAACTCCATAGATGTATAACTAAAATGTAAACAAAAAAGTCATTGAAAAGTATTATATTTCTGGGGGTTTTTTAATTTAATCAATATATTTTGGTTTTTGTGAAGCAGGTAGCTTAATATTGTGACCATTAACTTGTTGAATTTTATAGTGATATATGAGGACAAGCTTAATGTGGCCAGCTTTTGTATAGAAAGACTGTACAAAGAATTGTAACTAACTCCATATGAAAATGTTAATGGTGAAAGGTACATTTATATTATTTTTTAAAGAATTTTAAAAAATGGAATATTAAGTGTCCAGTTGCTCTGTGTCTATTTTCTTTTTGTTCTTTATGGTTTCATATGTAAGAAAGAGACCAATGTGTAAGCATCAAAAGACTTGAGCACAAATTTCTGACAAAGAAGTAACGCTGTAGATAGTTGAATCTATGACAGTATTTTTAATACGTTGCTGATTCCCTTCAGATTCCTTCTAATATAACCCTGAATCCTGTCCTTTCTGAGATGTGATTGTTTAGAGAGATCATATATATCACATAATTATATGTATTTATTATTTACAGATATGAAATAAAGTAGAGGAATATTATATATGCGTGTATTTTTTTTTAAAGTGCAAAAGCTATCTATATTAACACATGTAGCTTGCTCATATATACATGTATATTTAAAATATAGGCAAAGTTTTTTAGCTCACCAGAACCAAAGAATGATCTGTGTGTGCATCTACATGTATTAACTTTTTAGCTCCCCTGAGCTGTGTGTAAATTTCACATTTTCAACTTCTCAAGAACCTCTGGGCTGATTTTAACTGAAAGTATAACATCCAAGGGTAAAGGGATTCTAATTTTTTGTGATGAAGGGCCAAGCCCCAAGCTCCAAAGGGAGTTGGGTAGGGATTAACGCAAAATGTAATAATGCACTTTTTGGTTGTTGCATTTTGCGTTGCTTAATTTTTGCGTTGAAAACAACGCAAAAATGTAATAAAACAAAATATAATTATTTTTTTTTGTATTGTGTTCAACGCGACAAACAAAACAAAATTTATTTAAACAAATGGGGAAACTCGCTTTACTAAATAGACAGACAGACCTATGACTATGAGATAAAGGTTACGGCTTTTACGGACATTACTAAATCTAATTGTATATTTTTTTAACTCTGTTTCTACCATTTTTTATTGAATACTAGTAAAACATTAAATTAACTTTTATTGTATTTATAAATCAGTCTGTATTATCTATCCATCACTGACATTCTTAATTACATGTAAAAACATTGACCATGGGTCCATTAAAAGCTCGTGATATGCATGTACGACCTGCATGTGTACGTTGGTTAGCAAATTAGAAGTGCATGTGTGTGTGTCTGGCAAAGAGAAGCGGGGATAGAGGTTACTTCGTATGGTGATCATTGTATTTTTATGCGCGTGCAGAAACTATCCATTTTATTATTGAAGAGAGAGAGAGGGAATTTTATTTTTGCTGGTATGCAATGCACATGATTTGTAAAACAGTATGATATCTTAATTGTCAAGAAACCCCCTTCCCGCTATATTTACACCTGCCAGTAAAAATACATGTAAATAGATTTCTAAATATCATGCATGTGCCTATCAAAAAGCAAAAGCAAACTGATGCACTGATCAACGAAATAACCCCCCCCCCCCCCCGCACACTCATGTGCGCACGCACGTTTATAATTTGCAACACCTATGATTTGAATTCAAATGGCTAATGAAATCAATAATGATGAAATCAGATCTAATGTAAGAATCAGCATATGTTTATTTTTCCTTTTGTTTTATTTTCTTTCTGTTTATTTTCTTCATTCACTTCTCAATTGTTAATTTTTCTCAACCTGACTAACCAAAAAGTGTGTTCTTACTTTTTGCGTTGTTGCATTTTGCTTAATCTCGACGCAAAATATAATAATCCAAAAATCGTGTTATTACTTTTTGCGTTATTATATTTTGCGTTGATCTCGACGTAAAATGTAATAACGTAGAATATAATAATCCTAAAAAGTCTTTTTTCTACATTTTGCGTCATTACATTCTGCGTTGATATCGACGCAAAATGTATTAACGCAAAATGCAATAATTCCGGTTTATTACATTTGGCGTTGTTATTACATTTCGCGTTGTAATAATGTCCCCAAACTTCGTTTCGGGAACATAATTATCTTTCTGTATTGTGTTCAACGCAAAACCTCAAAAAAAAAACATATGACAAAGGGGAAACTCGCTAGGAAATAGACAGACAGACATATGACAATGAGTCAAACATTAAGACTTTTACGGATTTTACTTAATCTAAATGTATCTTTTTTGCTAACTCTGTATTATATATCCATTCACTGACATTCTTCAATGACCAAAGATTACCATGGGTCCATTAAAAGCTCTTGATATGCATGTACGACCTGCATGTGTACAGTGGTAAGCAAATTAGAGGTGTCTATAGCGAGGAGGGGAGGGGTTACGTCGTATGGTGATCATTGTCTGATGTCATGGCGTCAGACAATATTAGATTTAGCCAAGGCTTGTTGGTCAAGTCGTTCAATAAAATGATTTTGATAACTCGATCTAGGAAACTTCATTCTCTCTTAACCATGGGGATTAATGGAAACATGCTTAACACCCTAACAAGCCAAAGCATTGGGGGGGGGGGGTCCCTCTTCTTCATGGTTCCTACGGCCATGAAAAAAAGAAGAAATTGCAAGTAATACAGAACAAGTCTGTATGTAGAATAAATTCATATCCGAGTTTTATTTCATGTTGATACAACTGGATTGAACTTTTGGTACCGAACTTTTCTTGATTATTAGCAGAATAATTTATTTCTGGACTCAGAATTATGTTTATCACACTGAATTCAACTTTTCTTAGTTCTTCCTATAATAATAAATTTTGCTCACGTCAGACAAGCTTTTTAAGAAAGCTAATACTTGTTGTATTTCTATGACTAGACTGAAGATAGCAGCCAATAACAGCAGCCATTAAGCCCGTAGAAGCTAGCAGCCAATAAGGAAATTCATCAAAGGACTGAGAGTACTCTGACGCAATACTGTTTAATGCCTCATTTTCGACATAATATTATAATTAATAATTAAATAATTAATGCAACACTTAATTATTTAATAATTCAAACACTTGGAGGCAGTTAAGCTCACCTGCATAAGGAAAATTATGCGGTTTCAAAACAAACAAACAAACCAAAAAAAAGAGAAAATGTCACCATCTTTGACCGCTTAAGAACAAACCAACATTGGAAATAGGTTAAGTACTTCCGGGAGAATCCCTTTTAAGCTCTTTTACGGGTCTCAGGAACATGATGGTGCCAAAAGGCTAACCTGAAATTTGCTTACTCCTAATATTTACATTGATAAGGGTTTGAAGGTAATTTAATCTATTTTAAGTTATTATCCTTGAAATGTGCTTCGAACAATTACTGGCACAAAGTAAAGGGTCAACAGGGCTATTATGTACGGCCATGAAAATTAGGCTGAAGTGGTACCACCAAGTGGTGCCAAGGGTGGGTTACATATTTCAAGCAGCTCTCATACCTCTTATCTTATAAGTGTGGTGTGCTTTAAATCATTACTGTGGCAAGATAGATTTCTAGGACTATCATTTCCCGCAATCGGTATGAGGCTGTAGTGGCACCACCAAGTGGTGCCAACGGTGGGGAACATATTTCTAGCTTTCATTTTTCAACCATCATTGACCACTAGAACAAAGAAAGACTAAACTGGAAAAAAAGTTAAGGGCCTTAGGGAGTATCCCTTGTCAACTTTTTGACAGCTTTCAATGACTAGAAAAGAAAAGGCCAATTAGGTAACCTGAACTTTGTTGTATTTCACTTTGTCTATTGATATATGGATTAAAAGTCAGATGTTATTCCCCTTATCTTTGAAGTGTGCTTCAAATCATTACTAGGGCAAGGTAGAGGGCCCCTAGGACTATCATTTCCCGCTATCAAAATGGGGCTGTAGTGGTACAACCGAGTGGTGCCAAGGATGGGGGACGTATTTCAAGCATTCATTTTGAAAGCATCTTTGGCTACTAGAACAAAGTAACACTAGTGAAAGGTTAAGGACCTTAGGGAGAACCACTTGCCAGGTTTTTGAAGGGTCCCATGGAAGAAAAAGGGTCAGTAAGCTAACCTGAACTTTGTTGTTTTTCACTTTGTGTTTTAATATACAGGTTAAAGGTCAGAGATTGTACCCCCTTATCTTTGAAGTGTGCTTCAAATCATTACTGGGCAAGGTAGAGGGCCCCTAGGACTATCATTTCCCGCTATCAGAATGGGGCTGTAGTGGTACCACCAAGTGGTGCCATAGGTGGGGGACGTATTTCAAGCATTCATTTTGAAAGCATCTTTGGCTACTAGAACAAAGTAACACTAGAGAAAGGTTAAGGACCTTAGAGAGAATCACTTGCCTGTTTTTAGAGGGTCCCTGGGAAAGGAAGGGGCCAGTTAGCTAAAATGAACTTTGTTGTTTTTCACTTTGTGTTTTAACTTCTTGTTAAAGGTCAGCTATTATACCCCTTATCTTTGAAGTGTGCTTCAATTCATTACTAGGGCAAGGTAGAGGGCCCCTAGGACTATCATTTCCCGCTATCAGAATGGGGCTGTAGTGGTACCACCAATTGGTGCCATAGGTGGGGGACGTATTTCAAGCATTCATTTTGAAAGCATCTTTGGCTACTAGAACAAAGTAACACTAGAGAAAGGTTAAGGACCTTAGAGAGAACCACTTGCCAGGTTTTTGAAGGGTCTCGGGGGAAGAAAAAGGGTCAGTAAGCTAACCTGAACTTTGTTGTTTTTCACTTTGTGTATTAATATACAGGTAAGAGGTCAGCTATGATACCCCTTATCTTTGAAGTGTGCTTCAAATCATTCCTGGGGCAAGGTAGAGGGCCCCTAGGACTATCATTTCCCGCTATCAGAATGGGGCTGTAGTGGTACCACCAAGTGGTGCCAAGGGTGGGGGACGTATTTCAAGCATTCATTTTGAAAGCACCTTTGGCTACTAGAACAAAGTAACACGAGTGATAGGTTAAGGACCTTAGAGAGAACCACTTGGCTGTTTTTGAAGGGTCCCTGGGAAAGGAAGGGGCCAGTTAGCTAACCTGAACTTTGTTGTTTTCTCTGTTTTTTAATATACAGGTTAAAGGTCAGTTTTTATACCCCTTATCTTTGAAGTGTGCTTCAAATCATTACTGGGGCAACGTAGAGGGCCCCTGGGACTATCATTTCCCGCTATCAGAATTGGGCTGTAGTGGTACCACCAAGTGGTGCCATAGGTGGGGGACGTATTTCAAGCATTCATTTTGAAAGCATCTTTGGCTACTGGAACAAAGTAACACTAGTGAAAGGTTAAGGACCTTAGAGAGAACCACTTGCCAGGTTTTTGAAGGGTCCATTGGAAAGGAACGGGCCTGTTAGCTAACCTGTAATTTGTTGTTTTTCACTTTGTGTTTGAATATACAGGTTAAAGGTCAGCTATTATACCCTTATCTTTGAAGTGTGCTTCAAATCATTACTGGGGCAAGGTAGAGGGCCCCGAGGACTATCATTTCCC